TTCTTTCGAAGAATATTATAAAATAAAGAAGTGACTTTACATAAGAAGCAAAATTGAGTTCGTTTTAATTTAATAATCTTGATTGACGTCTATTTTAAATTTAGGATTCAGAATATATTTTGAAGAATAAATTTGATGCTTGTGATGAACTTATGACAGATGATGTACGAACTTTTTTGAAATAAAAGTAATTGTGAGATTGTTAACTTGTGATTTTTTGTGCGTTTTATGGAACGTGTAGTCAAAACGTAAGGCGTGCACAACGAATTTATGCGTAGAGAGACGCGCGAGAGGGAGAACGTAACCGGGGTGTCCTGAAAGGTTGAGCGTCTCGCGCGAGAGAGAGAGATGAAAATATCGAGAGTAGAGAGTCCCTCGACATACCTGGTGGTGCTCTTGAAGAAGTTGTTGCTCTCGCGGTTCATCAGCTCGCTGCGAAACCGCGACATCTCGTCCTCCATCTTCCTCATCTCGGCGTCGAAGCGTTCGCGTATGTTGGAGAATTCGGTGTCGATCACGCTGAAGTCACCGAGTTTGATGGGAATGTTGCGCTTGATACCACTGTCGGCCATGTTTTTGTTTTCGCCCAGGAGCAGCACTTTCGTGTCTCTTGTCACTGTAATCACTCGACGAGGACCCGCGCCGCGTCAAATACGATTCGATCGCGAGAATCTAGGCAACCGATTGTGAGTACCCTTCAACTCCGGCACGTGTCACGTCCCGTGTCTCGTTCCTGTCTGAGGAATGAGCGCGGCTCACCGGCAGCCGTTTAAATACCCGGCGACGCCGGCGAGGCCGCTTGTGGGTGCTCGGCTATCCTCGGTTGCGCTCGGGTCACCTCGTGACCACGCGGCCGCTCGCGGTCGGTTACGAGCCAGCAGCGGCAGCAGCGCGGGCGGATGCTCGCGAGATTTTTGACATGCCACGATGACGGCCTAAATTTAATTAGACATTAATCGCCAAATAGCAGGAGGGTCGTTAGCGGAAAGTTGACGGACATGAAATGGCGGAGCGTCGCCACCTACTTCCTGCGCGGATGAAAAAACGCGATCGATTTTACTGTTTACGGACGTTCGCGCCGCTACTTAATAATATTTTAACATAATTTTTCATGAGATAGAAGATTGCCCTGATCTTAGATATCATTGTTTAAAATAGACATTGGTTGAGACATTAATTAACGTATTCATTTCAAAACAAATGGATGAACAGATTAATTAAAGTATTGTCCATCGCTGGCTACTACTTTTTCCTATCTCTCAGGCAATTTTCGAATTCCATCTCGAAAAAATGACTTGTTTTTAGAGACGATCATTTTTTTGGAAAACGGACCGAACTAATTTGTACTACTTTTTTTTTTTTTTTTTTTTTTTAAGAAAAAAAGAGAAAGGCGAAAGAGTCGTGCTAAATATTGATTAAATATGACGGCTAACAAATTTAAGAGAATTCAGCTCAGTAATTTCCCTCGATAGAAGATTGCTCCGTTTTTTAGATGTTATTATTTAAAAATACACATTAGATATAATAAAATGCCAATGTGAGTCGATACAAGTTATTAGTGTGTATATATTAAAATTTATTCAAAATGAATAATAAAACGTATACGGTTCGACCCTCGTTCGGGTCTTCTTCAGTACAAAGAAATGATTAAATATAAGAATTTACTTACATTTATAATAAATAGCGCATATAAAACATAACATGGTGATAGTGTCGGAATAAGTCGAATCTTCTAATCATCAAATTGTTAGATTTACTAAAAATAATTAAGAAAAAGAACGAAAAGAGTATATTTTTATAATTTGTTAACGAAAAGTTTTTTTGATGAGTTAACTTACATGATATTGTCAAGATTAGTCTGTTATCAATGTAGTAAATTGTACAAGTTCCATTATACTGTTCAGTTTACTGTGTGGGCACAATTGTGAATAAATTAATATACAATTATTATAAAAGTAATTGATATCAAAATTTAGTTCACTTACATGGAATTTAAAAGAAAGTTATTAAACAAGATATTAACTGTTTGGCAGACAAATGTGAAATAAAATAAAGAGAAACAGTTAACAATAGAACATGTACCTCAATGACAATACCATATACATGAATAAAAATAATACATAGACAAGAGATAAATTTTTAGAATAGAAGCATATTACGTCTCAGAAAATAAATCTGTATATAAAGGACCAAATGAAAATATGTCATTTTGTAAATTCAGGCCTAGTTTTTGTTTTTTAACATGTATCATCTCTGATATGATATCAGTCTTTCATTTAAAATCTGTTGTTTGTCTAAAATATGTACACCATCCCAATCAAATTCATGAGATATGTCAGTATGATGTTGTGTAATAACCTAATAACCTAATATTGCGTCGTATTTCTGTTGATATGATTTCTGCGTTCTGCTTGTTTGCCCAACGTAAAACGCATCACAGTCCTTACAATCAATCTTGTATACTACACCGGATTGGCAGAATTGAGGCAATACGTCCCTCTGGACCTTTATGAATTTATTGAGTTTGTTTATGCTTCTATAAGCCATAAAAGGTAAATGTTTTAAAAAATTCTTGATTTTATTAGAAATATTATTTCTATAATAACTTATGTCGGCTCACATTGGCATTTTATTATATTGTTTTTGGATTTATTTACATGAGCCTATTGATTATCTTGCTTTTTTAAAAATAGTTTGAGACATTTAATGTATTCGAAGTCGTTTATGTAAGATTAGATCCACAACCTCGCTTTAAGAGGTCCTCAGCCGTAAAGCCATAAGAAAATGACCAATCATAGTTGAATGTGAGAAAAATAATCTACTGTGATTGGTCAATTTCCTACGGCTTTACGGTTTACAGCCTCTTAAAGCGAGGTTGTGGGCCCAGATATTTTTTCAAGAAAAGAAAGGTGTGTGAAAAAACGTACTAGATATTAATTCTTCGGATAAACTAGATTTGACGGCTGATAAATTTAAAAGAATTTAACGTAATTTTCTATATAACAAAAAAGATTCGATTTTTTTTTAGATATTATTATTTACAATAATTTTGAGATATCTAGTTAATGTACATACATTCATGGTCGTTTATGTGAGTATATTGATGATAGATATACGCTCTGATATATTTTTAAGAAGAGGAAAAGGTGAAAAACGTGCTAAATATTGATATTTTGGGTAAAAAACTAAACCTGCCAAATTTAAAAAAATTGACTTCTTTTCTGTCGAGAAAATTCTCATTGAGATCAATGTGTCGACTTTCTATACTCTGAGAGTGGACTTATTTTCGTATTAAAACAAATAATACGTCACACGAGAATGTGGCCTCGCTCTTAGAATTTGTTCATATAAAGACCGCGCGTAGGCGAGAACGATACAAAACGAATCATCATTGCCCGCGCAACCCAGCATGACTAATAAACTCGCGCAATCGTTTCCTTATAAACGACCCCCGCGAAAGAACAATCTCGTAAATTCCACGCACGCGTCTCGACAGAATTATTCGTATCTATTTATGGTTGATATAAGAAGAATGAAAGTAAAATAATCACAGATGTGTGTAAAAGTAAGTTTTCATTTTATGTAATAATTCCTATAATTTTTCCGAGATGAAAGTTTTAATGTTTAAAACCTTTAAACTTTGTTTTTAAATACAATTATGAATAAAAAAATGAACATTCGTGTCAGTAACTGAAAACAAAAAGGATCAAGATGACCTTTTAACAATCAGATGCAATGGCGGATACAATTTTTACGGTGCTGATCGTTCAATTAGACCGAATTAAAAGGTCTCTTCGAGTCAATAACTCATCAGATGATCGGCAAGACATTGTTTAACGCGATGATCCATCCATGAGAAGATTGCAATCGTCGTAAATGAAGATTTTAATTGAAAGACATTAATCTTTAGAAGAAAATTTTTTTATTTTAAATAAGATTTGTAATTTATATTTCGTTGTATTTTTTCTTCCAAAATATGACACCGTGCCATTATATTGGCTTTCTTGTTCTGTATATAAAGAGAACAATTTTGCTAAAATGTCTAAACATTTAATTATAGATATACAGATCTGAAAAGAAATTTCTAGGACTATTAAATTACAAATAATTATGTAAAGTGTTCAATTGCTAGAATGTCAAAACTTTTTGCAGTATTGTTTATCATGCTTGAGCTTTCTACATAATTATTCTGATAATCCAACAAAATTATTTTCAAATCTGTATCTACATATATAGTTAAATTTTTATATATTTCAACAAAATCGTCATTTCCTGTAAAGGTTAAAATAATTTTTGACATTAAACTTCTTCGAGAGTATTAAAATTCGTCAAAGCGCCAATTTATAAATTAAAGATGTTAGCATTGCCATACGTAATAGTCACACATATCTGTGATTATCAATTTCAAAAATCATAAATCAAATTGATGAAACTGCGATCAGTATATAGAAGATATAGATTCCTATAAATATCTCGACAATGGTCGATTAGAAATTCTTCCTGCATTGCGTCCGTCGAAAATTGGCGATCGCTCCGAGACGCGTCATCCAGCCGAGAATGTTAAAAGACTGTATGCGTCGTCACGAGAGAATTCTTTTACGGTATTGAAACCGAGTCTCGCGATGAGTGACGCCGACGCTATTTCGGCGCCTCGCGTCGTCACTAATTGCGTTCTCGCGTCTGAATGGAACGGCAACGTCACTGTACGCCCCCCGTATTCGTCCGTACACAACACATTCGACATATACAGTTCTTTGCTGTTCGCCTCGACGTATACGCTCACGTGAATTAGAGCATCGCCGAAAAGTCTTTCCACGTCGAACTAGAAAATTGAATTGGAAAAAAGGAATAGTTGCACAGATACTGATTTTTTATGAGCTCTGAAGAAAATTTAGGATTTTACAATAATGTTGAGTACATGTTAATAAATTATAATCAGAAATCTCTTTCAAATTCCCTAGTTATAATGTAAATTATATTGGGAGTACAAATTAGTTCGGTCCGTTTTTTTGTGTTCAAAATGCATCCCATGTGTTCTCATGGCTCTCAATCGTACTCTGAAACGTCTTGTTGAGTTAGTCCCAATGATTCTGCAAGCTTCTCTTGCTTTTGACTCTGATCTTCTTCGAGTAATGCCTCTAATTCTTTGTCTTCGAATTTTTTTGGTTGTCCAGAGCGAGGCTTGTCTTCAACGCTGAAATCTCCATTCTTGAAACGTTGAAACCATTCCCTACATGATTTATCAGTTGGAGCAGTGTCACCATAAACTTCGACAAGCATTCGATGGGCTTCAGCTGCACTTTTTTTTCCAAATAAAGCAGAAAATTAAAACTCCCGTAAATGCTGCTTGGTTAACACAAAATTCGACATTTCAAACACAGTAAAAATCAAGGTTTTTGTATGAAACTCAAAGCGATATAAACTGAATATTATTAGCTGATGTCTAACCTCTCTGAAACCGCCAAAATCAGCTATCACTATGAACCACAACAGCCGAAGCCATCTTTTGGAAAACGGACCGAACTAATTTGTACTCCCAATATTTAGAAAATAGGAATTATATATAAACTTTAATACATAAATTATATATTTTGTTGAACTTTCTGTGTAATTATAAAAAAGGAAATGTAAAATAATATATATATTATAAATATTGTTTATTGACGTAGATTTGTTTTGTTTGACTAGATGATAAACAGAGTAAACACATTTCACGCTTCGGCTGGATTATACTATTACAAAACTACTAGTAATCCAGCGTAAATTTTTCTTAATGGCGATTCACTGGCTGCGTTCAGCGGAAAAAGCAGCTTTGCAACTGTTGTAGAATTCTTAAATATAATTAGGCTTGTACTTTATAATTCTTCAGACTGGATGTAGGACTACATTCCAAAACGTCTTCTCTCTGAGAAAAATTTTATTTTTTCGAATTATACAATAAAAATATATGTAATGTTTATTATATCGAGTAAGATTTTCCTCGAAAGACATTTTGGAATGTAAACTAATCATATTAAAGAAATAAAGAATTTTACAACAATTACAAAGCAGCTTTTTCTACGGAATGCAGCCACTGCTATTTTCAAGATTATTCAGACATATGCATGAAAACGAAAAAAGAGATTTTAACTAAGTTAGTTTTAGCAGGGTATAGTAACTAGTTAACCCTTTGCGTCGCAGTGGGTCGCCCAGCGACCCACCTTTTATCAGCTAGTTTTTTCACATTTAAAAATCAGTTTCTCATGTTGTTTACGTCGTGATTGATTTTCTACATAGTCAAGGCATTTATTTATCGAATGGAAGATATTGCACGTATTAAAATACTATAGTTAATTAATTATAAACAAAAATATACCAAAAAATTACCATTTTTTGAAACAAAATCATTTGTGAAACATAATTCCGTACAAACACATACGGGAAAGTTATTATTTATACGTTTTTGGGGTCGCTGAATACGAATCTGATGTCGGTTTTCAAAAATTCAAAATGGCGGATCCAATATGGCGGACAAAAAATTGAAAATCGACTGAATTCGCTTGAAACTAGTTACTCGGGGGTTTTCAGGGTCGCTAAATATGAATCTGATATTAGTTTTCAAAAATTCAAAATGGCGGGTCCAATACGGCGGACAAAAAACTGAAAATCGACTGAATTCGCTTGAAAAAAGTTACTTGGTGGTTTTCGAGGTCAATGAATACGAAAATGAAAATAGATTTTGAGGATTCAAAACGGTGAGTATATAAATGGAAGACGCTTGTATACGAGTTATGTACTTGACAATTCATTGTCCGATGACCTGTACAAAATGGAAGCCTTTTCATACTCATCAGTATTTTTATTTACAACCCAGAGAAAAATAGATCATACATAATCATATATAAATTTATATGATTGTATATACTATTATACATAAAACAAAAAAAAAACTGAAAAAAAACTGGAAAAGAAAAATAACTGGATTCACAATTTTCATGTAAGCCATGTTGGATCCGCCATTTTGAATTTTTCAAAACTAACATCAGATTCATATTCAGCGACCCCGAAAACCCCCGAGTAACGAGTTTCAACCAAATTCAGTGGAAAGAAAAATGTGCCCCTGAAAGGGTTAAAACGTTAAAAGTTAAAAAAAAAGTTAAAAAATTAATAACTTTTAACTTAACTTAGTTAATTTTGTTACGGAACGTCGTGGTTTTAGAAATTCTCTCCTATTTTTGGGTCAATGCATTTAAGCAATTTACCCTGGGATTGGAGGTCAGGATGTGCGATTAGGAATGTTCAGGAGGAAGGGTAGGATAGTTTTTAGGAAGGGTGACTTTGAACCCGGTCCCAAAGAGTTCGCGAAGTTTGTAGGCGAGCCTGCGTGGATCGCCTTTTCGGATGGTTTTATAATTGGGAAAGGTGAGGTTAATTTCTAATAGGCTGAGGATATATTTGCGTTCGGGAGATGGATCTAATGGTTTATTATGGTTTAGTAGACGCGCTAGTTTTTCGAAATAAGGAAAAGGATCGTGATTTTTATTAAAGGCTGTTTTGATCTGGAACCTTAATCTCTTCTCTTTTTCTCTTCGTCCACCTTTTGAAGGCATGGAAGCAACGCGAAAGAAATTATCTAATTTCGAGAAAAATGTCTAAGACTGGGGCCACGCCATTGGCAGCGACAGTCACAACACAGTCCTCTATAATTTGTGAATGCTCCGAAAAAATGCTTAGGACGGGGGCCACACTATTGGCAGCGACAGTCTTAGCAACTCCTCGGATATTCATGTACTACTAGACGAGACGCAGAGTTGAGATTTCGGTTTCGGCTGAATAACTTTTATATTCTGTTTATTAAGTACAAAATAAAAAAATAAATGACACAAAAGGAGAAATAACCTACGTCTAGATGCGAAGCGTGAGGATAGTTCCAACTAAAGAGTTTCTTCTGACGACTGGCTGACTAGTTAATGATGAATTTTCTTCTAACAACTGACTTAACTGACTAATGGTATAACGATGAATTTTCTTCTAACAACTGGCTTAACTGACTAATGGTATAATGATGAATTTTCTTCTAACAACTGGCAGTTTTCCTGCTTTTCGCAGCTCTTTTATACTAAAAAATGAACGTGGGAGTGTCCGTCCAGGACCAATCAAGATTCTTTAGAATTTGGTGGAACCTATGCTCGCGCTTGTTTTCTTACGATAAGGGAGCAGCGCTCCGCGTAAGCCCTACTCCCGACACTACGAGTCTAGTCTTATCTTAGTAGACGAGAGTTTTAATAATTTATAAAAGTTCGATTTTCCTTAACTAATATCCTTATGCGAGGCGAAATGTAACGACATGTTCTAAATTATATTAATGTTGTATATTTTAAGTTGGGTTAAAATATTTTATAACTTTATATATTATGACTCTTGGATTTTAGTTTCATTAAGAATAAGAGACAAAACAAAGAAAAGGAAAAATAAAAGATATTCATCCTCGCATTCGGAAGGATCTTACCATATACTACTACTTAATTATTAGGCATATATGCTATTGTTTAACATTTTTCTAGAAAAAGGCCTTCGAAGGAAAAAGATTATAAAATAGATATTCTTTATCTACGTGACGCATAAGAGTATGCGAGCGTGAGTCATCTGTTGTTTGAATGTTTATGAACTAAGATAGGCCCTTCTATAAAAGGGACAGTTACGAAATATAGATATAATGGAGACAGAATATCTGACTAAGACGAAATACCAAACTAGAAATAAGATAAAGAAAATGTGTGAATCATATATTTATAATAATGAAGAAAGAGGGATTTTTAGTGGGATGTAACAATTTTAAATGCATTAAATTTTAACTTAAGGGGAGGTTCTCATGAAACTCGATCCGAAAATGTCAAAATTTTTTTTGCGTTTTTTGATAGCTTATTATGTGTAGAATAAGCCCCCATAAACGCCAGAAAAAGTTTGGCTGAAAAAAAAAGTTGTACAAAAAGCGAACCCACCTTTTTACACTAAAATCAACTAAAATTGACGAAAAAATAAAAAAATTATGTGATTTTGCACTTTTTAAATGTTTTCACTTTTCTCATTGTCAGCACGATTGTGAAGTGTAAAAATTGTGACGTGCAATTTTCAAAAACTGCTGGTGCAGGCGTTGCATTCAAATTAGTGGTCAAATGTAAGAAAACCCTTATCAAAACTTTAAACGCGTTTTCTGAAAAATACTGTTTTTCAAAACTGTAGCCACGATTTCTCAAGATCTAATTGACGGATCGGGTCAAATTTTTTTTTATTTTAAAGTAAATTAAATTTATTGGAGGATGAACCTAAATGCGACTGATATTTCATGTTTTTTCGATTTTTTATAGCACTTTGAAGAGCGAACAAAAATGTAAAAAACGACATTTAAAATTCAAATGCATGTCATTTTTTCAATTTTCGATATTTTTTCGATTTTATAGGATCAAGCTCCAACAAATATCATATATTTTAAGAAAATTTTTGGTTTTTTCGTTTTAGATCATCCGTTCGACCGCAATCCTGGCTGTAATCAACCAACATTTTTTTCACACGGTCACGTTGCAGCACGCATAAAACATTTTCTTCACTATATTAAGCGTCGAAAAAATTTATTTTTGTACTTAAATACTTGATAAATATGTGCCAAAAAACTAGAATTGATAATTTACATCCTACCATGAGAAAAAAATTCAAGAAAATTACCTTATTTTCGGGTCGCTAGATGAGAACCTCCCTTTAATTAAGTTACTTTTAAACGTTAACTCTTTAACATTTTTTTAAGTTAAAAAAATTTTTTATCTTTTTTAAATATCTTAGAAAATTAATAAGATATATCATAATAAGACTAAGGCCGGAATCCATAGTCCGAACATAGTCTGAATCTTAAGGAATGTCTTAAGATGCTAATACGGCTCTCTGATTGGTTCATGCACTAGTTTAATACCATCTCGAATCTTGAGTAACATCTGTGGATTCCGTCCTAAGAGCGTATATTCATATTTTAAGACCATCTTAAGTAATTTCTTAAGATGCTAATGCAGCCCTCTAATTGGCTTATGCGGTTATGCCGTAGGTATGTCATAAACCTTTCCGGATCTACAATAAGTTTTTTAAGCCTTAAGTCATAAGAAATTGATTAATTACAGTCAAATTCTTCTCGTATTCAAATTTAATTGATCAATTTCTTATGGCTTAAGAAAAATTAGGACATTTTGATCTAAAAAATATTTTTTTTCGAAATTAACTTTTTTTTCAACTTGAGTTAATTCAATATTGATCACTTAACTTACGTTAA